ATTTATTTATTTATTTATTTTCTGGTATCAGGGATTGAACTAAGGACCTTGCACTTGCCAGGCAGGTGCTTATGCCACTGAGCTATATACTCAGCCCTAGTATTTATTTTTGAGATAGGGTCTCTCTATGTAGTGAGCCTTGAGCTCACTTTGAAGCCCAGGCTGGTCTCGAACTTGAAGCAATTCTCCTGACTCAGCCTCTGGAGTGCTGGGATCACAGGCATATGCCACCACACCCAGCTTGATGTTAGGATTTTAAACTGGGCATGGTGGCACATGCCTGCCATCCCGCGGAGGCAGGAGGGTGGTGAGTTTGAAGCCAGCCTGGGTGAGTTGGCAAGATCCTGTCTCAATGTTTAAAGAGTGGTAGGGTGCTGGCCTAGCTATGCATGAGGCCCTGGTTTAAACCTCCAGGACTGGAAGAAAGTGTCACACTTGACGATCAGCTATTAGAACTTTCCTTCCCAACAGGACTGGAGTGTATGCTTGTCGCTGCATCGATTGTGTAGTCAGCATGGGAGCGGAGCGGACGCTGTCTCACTACCTCTTAAACAGGAACTGTCAAAGTATCTACCTGGAAGGTTTTTATAAGGATTAAATGATCAAACAAGTGGAGTGCTAACAATAATACTCAGTAAATCAAAGACAGCTGTTCTTATTGTCATTAGCCAGTATTTCTAAGTGAACGTCGTTCAGTGAAAACATACACTAGGGGGCTGGCAAGATAGCTCAGGGGACGAAAGTGCCTGCTTAGGCAAAGTTAGGCCAACTACAGGGAGCATGGTTCCACCTACGCACGGGCCATACCTGGCCTGCCCCCAGGGCAGGCTGAGCCGGCCCAGGGTCTGGGTGTAGCGGCGTGCACCTGTGATTCCACTGTAATGTGTACACCTGTAAACCCAGTGCTGGGAAGGCGGATCACTGCGAGTCCGATCTAGTAGTGAGACCCTGAACACCCTGTAGACCCTTCCCTAAAATACAAAACTAAACAAAAACCACTAGGGCAGGCGAGATAGCTCAGTGGACTAAGCACCTGCTTAGGCAAGCACAAGGATCCGGGGTTCCCCTCCAACACAAGCCGTGCCAGGCCTGCCCTGGGCAAACCGAGCTGGCCACCAAGAGTGGGCGTGTTGGGCTGGTGAGATGGCTCAGTGGTCTAAAGCGCCTACCTAAAACAAGCTTGGCAAAGCACAGGGACCGTGGTTCAATCCCCCAGCACCACATGCCAGCCAGCCCCGCCTCCTGGTGGGCTGAGCTGGCCACACACACACACACACACACACTCTCACACACAAATAAATAAAATTAAAAAAAAAAAAAAAAAGACTGGGCGTGTTGGTGCACACCTGTAATCTCAGCACTGGAGAGGCTGAAATAGGAGGATCACTATGAGTCTGAGCTGCATAGTGAGACCCTATACCAAATACATAAAATTAAGAAAAAAACAATACACTGATTTTGTTACAACTCTTTCATAAAAAAGCAACTCCTTAGAAGATAAAATATCTTTTGTTTTATTATTTTCTGAGACAGGGTGTGAGTGCACACTGGCCTTAAACTCACTATGGAGCCCAGGTTGGTCTCCAGCTTGCAATGATCCTCCTGCCTCAGCCTCCCAAGTGCTGGATTACAGGTGTGTGACACTGAACACCTGGCTGATAAAGTATCTTTTGTACAGAAGCATTCTAAGCACACAAATTCTGGATCTTTAACAATACATAGACTTACCAAATTTTCGACTAAAGAGGTCATTAACTTGTTCTCGTAGCTGTTTAATCTTTTCAATGCTTGATAATCTTTCCTTCTCATTATCTAAAAATAATTACATAAATAAACAAGACAAGGTCATTAATTCCTCTCCATACTGTTGAGGGGGAAAGTTATCACTTTATCTGGCTCATCCGTTTACTTCGAGCAATAACTGTTTCTGGAAATTCACAACCAGAAGTCATTATAGATAACAGAGAACTTTCCAGGTGATGACACAACATAGTCATGTTCCACAGTACTCTGGGGAACATGTTCAACATCATGCAAGACATGGTGCTCAGCTGGGGTGGTGGGATGCTCCAGTAATCCTAGTCCATCGCGCTGAGCTGGCCACTGAGTTTGGGCATGGTGGCGCGCACCTGTAATCCTAGCGCTGGGGAGGCTGAAAACAGGAGGATCGCTATCAGTTTGAGCTGCGTAATGAGACCCTGAACAAAAATAAACGAGAGCAGGAGGTCAGTGAGAGACTGGACCAAAAGTGACGGTTACCTGGCAACTGCGCACGTAGCGACAGTGATGTTTTGCTGTGCCAGGTGCGATGCCACCTAGCAGGGCACACAGGGATGTGGGCGTGTTTAGAGGAATTAGGGAGCAAGGAACAGTCACTCCAGGAACTTGGGCAGCCTGGGGGAGGTGGGCCTCAGACCTGTCACTGACGCTCACAACCACTTTCAACGTTAGAATAGAAATCTTAGCCAATACACTATGACAAGTAAAAGAATTCAAAGGTACCGGGAGCAAAAGGAAATACTTTTCATACTTTAAAACTTTATTCTGGCCAGGGATATATCTCAGGGGCACAAAGTGTCTGCTTGGTCAGTACAAAGTCCTGAGTTCAATTCCGGGTACCAAAAAAAAAATCTTTATTCTGGGCTGGGGCTGGGGCTCAGAGGTAGAGCTCTTGCCTTGCATGCAAAGGCCCAATTCAATCTTCAGCACCACAAACAAAACAAAACACAAAACATCTTTATTCTATTTGATTTGGAATAATGAACTCCAACATGATTTAAAATCCAAGAGGCAATAAAATAGTGTATAGAGGGGCCAGAGAGATGGCTCAGTGGAATAAGTGCTTTCCTGGCAAGTGCAAGGTCCTGAGTTCAAACCCTGGTGTCACAAAACAAACAAACAAAAAATGTGTGTAGAAAAGCCAGTCTCACCCCTTCCCAGTTCTCCATCTTTCAGTCTGGAGTTACTATGTTATTATGTTCTTTCCTAGTCTGCAAATATAGCTTAACCTGGTTATAACCCTGAGTTATAACCAGGCATGTGAACAATTTGAGTCATGACCAGAATTTCATTCTTTTTTTTTTTTTTTTCTTTTTTTTCAGAATTTCAGTTATAACTACGACTGGACTCTGCTGCTTGTGCTTCTGGATGGCCTCAGATACAGATTTCGCCCTGAAAGAGTTCTGGAAGGAACAGGAGCTCTACATTACAGCGTCCTTGCCTCTGCGGGGTTACCTGCGAAATTCCAGGCCCGCGTCTCCCTCAGGATGTTGCTGTATCTGCCTATAAACAAGAGATCCGGAAGGCTGTGTGGAGGAGCTTGAGCCCTCAACTGACAGCTTGAGCTATAACTAGCCCTCGGGACCACGTGGAGTTCCAGACTCAAGGGTGCAAAGTATTGAAACAGGAGGGATTATTTTTTTTTTTTTAGGGGGTGAATAGTAGAAATCAAACTCAGGGCCTCATGATTGCGAAGCAGGTTGCTGCGCCGCTGATAACCCTGGTCCCAAACAGGAGGTCATTTATTTATTTATTTATTTATTTAATTTTATTTATTTGTGTGTGTGTGGCCAGCTCCGCCCACCAGGGGGCGGGGCTGGCTGGCATGTGGTGCTGGGGATTGAACCCCGGTCCCTGTGTTTTTGCTGAGTTTGTTCTAAATAGGTGCTTTAGACCACTGAGCCATCTCACCAGCCCCCAGGAGGTCATTTAATGATGACAACAAATCAGTTTCCCCTCTGTGGCCAAGTCCAAGTCCACAGCAGGGGTGCGTGGGGCTGCCACGTGGAGAGGTTTCCTGTGATGCTGAGCGAGGGCAGGAGAAGCTCTGTGTGCCTGTCGCAGGGACTGAGAGGAGCGGGACATTTACGCACCTTTTATATCACTGAACTGCCATCCCTTACTCGTCAGGGGGACTAAGGCAAAGTGACGCCCCTGAGAGACGAACCTGGGTTGTGAAACAGGTAAGACACAATGAAGGAAAACTGTAAGACAAATTACGATCAAGTCCGCCGCTCGCCCCTACCTGGAACTGTGACCTGCACGATGTTAAGCTCTTCCACACCTGAGGCAGAAGTGGTGAGGACGGATGAATCTGTGTTTCCTTAAAATAGAAACTGAAGTTTAGAATTCACAGGAAGTGAGGCCAGTTCTCTAGAAACATCAGAGTGGCACTTGGGGTGGAAGCCCAGGCTGCAGTGCTTTCTTTCTTCTCTAGTTAGTAGTGGGCATTCCCACCGAGCTGCATACCCAGCCTCCTTCCTCCCTGTTTTTATTTATTTTTTATTATTTATGTATTTATTTTTACATTTTTATTTATTTAATATAGGGTCTCACTACACAGATCAGACTTGTCGTGATCCTCCTGTCTCAGCCTCCCCAGCGCTGGGCTTGCAGCTGTGTATCACCACGCCTGGCTTCAGGGCCTGCACGGTGTGCCCAAGGTTCTGGGGCTGGCACGGCATGCGGTACCCGGGATCAAACTCAGGAAACTTGTCAGGCAGGTGCTTATGCTGCTGAACTACCTCCCCACGCCCGTTTTTATTTTGAGACAGGTTTCACTAAGTCACTAACTCGCTTAGGCTGGGCTCTAATTTGTGATCCTCATTCCTCAGCCTCCCAAGGTGCTCAGATTCCAGCGTGGGCTACCAGGCCTGGCCCATCTTTCTTCCTGGCCCATCCGTCCTCATTGCACAGAGCATGGTTTGTCCTGTTGTGCCCCAGCGCTACTTTCCTGAGCTTAGTTATGTTGCCTACAACGTCCCACTCCTGGGTCCTGATGGACACTCAGTCTACTGCTTTGTATACACTTATACATGCACACACACGCACACACACACACACACACACACACACACACACACACTGATTTCAATCCATTCCTTACAATAATCCTTCAAAAAGAGAGCCAGGGGTAGCAACGTATACCTGTAATCCCAGCACTCAGGAGGCTGAGGCAAGAGGATCACTGTGAGTTCAAGGCCAGCTGGGGCTATATAGTGAGTTCAAGACCAGCCTGAATTGCACAGTGAGACCCTGTTTTTAAAAAGCAAACAAAATAAAACCAAACCAAAAGGAAGGAAATGAAAGCCACACTTTAGGAGGCAAGAGAAGGCTTTGATAACTGACCTTCAATTTTCATGTCCCCTTCGGGATCCTCGTTGGTTTCTGAGGAGGCCAGCTGAGTGGACTCTGGGGACAAAGGGTCACTGGTCAGCAAGCTTCTCCTCTCTCCCCCTGCCTCACAGCTTCCACACTGCACAAGCAGCTTAAAATAGGCCTTCTATCCAGTGGATCCACAGGGAGTTGGGCATGGTTAGGGATAATAACAAGAGCATCAAGGACAACATCATAGGGGATTCTCTAATAAAGGACAGGAAGAGATGGAAACTTCTAGACTCTATCAAGTAATGCCACCACCCACGTGTACAGACAGGGTGCTTTGGTTTGGGGAACTAGAACTTGTGTGGTCACAGTGTTTTGTTGTTGTCATCAGAACTACTAAAGGAACAAAGCTGACTGCTGTGGCTAATACCCAGTTCCCCTCTGTCCTGCCAGTGACCCAGGGTAAGATGCTGCCCAGGGTGCCTGTGGGCCCTCCGCTCTTGTAGAGGTTGAGAATTACAGTGCAGGTGTGAAGTTCCACACAGCGATGAGAGGAAGGAAAGAATCCCAGGAGAGAAAAACGGTGGTGCATGCCTACAGTCTATCCCAGCACTCGGGAGGTGGAGGCAGGAGGATCACCACAAGTTTGAGGCCAGCCTAGGTTACATAACAAGATGACAGCCAGTTTGAGCTTTGTAGAAAGATCCTGTCTTGAAGTACAACAAACAAACCAAAAGGACAAATGCTCTATGAGCCATGACTCATGAGGTATCTAAGCGGTCAGATTCATAGAAACAGGACATAGGCTTGGGACAGGCAAAAGAGGAATACGTATTTTTTAAAAGCATAATTAGAAAATAAATGAAAGTTGATGATAGAGTTCACTTGTCCTTTTGGCTTAAAGCCACTATGTTTAAAATGACTAATTTGGGCCAGGGAGCTAGCTTGGCAGTTTAAGTGCCTGCCTGGCAAGCGCAAGGACCTGGGTTTGATCTCAGTACCACATACTGAGCCAGCCACTGAAACTGGGCCCGTAATCCCAGCACTGGGGAGGCTGAGGCAGGAGAATCACTGAGTCCAAGCAGTGTAGTGAGACCCTGTACCAAATAAATAAATAGATCTTTAAACAAATAAATGAATAAAATAAGATGACTAATTTGCTGAGTGAAGAAATAATTCTAAAACTGGATGCTGTAGTCTCTTTCCCTGAGAAAAGTTTATTAAGACTTTTTTTTGGGTAACAGAACCAAGTTATGACCAAGGGAGCTGTTGGAAATACCTTGCCCAGTAAGAAGCACTCCCAAATTGCCGCCTGGAGAATACACTGGATTTTGTGGGGGGTGGGGGGTAATGAGATTGTTTTGGGGCTTTGCTGGAAGCTAAGACAGATCTACCCCTGCCCAACAAGAAGCATCTCCACAGAAAATGCCCAAGGCCCTTCAGGCCTTTAGGCTTGGAGGGCAAATCTCCTTTGTTAATTTCACCTTGGACATAGGTAAACTCCTTCAAGGGCTCAAGCGCTAGCTGTGCGCAGAGGCGCAGGCCTGGGATCCCGACACTAGTAGGATGAGGTATGAAGATTGGAAGCTGGAGTGTGGCCGGTGGAACTTGGCAAGGCCTTCCCTCCCAATAAAATAATATAAAAGGGTTGAGGATGTAAGGGTGCGCTTCAGTGCAAAGGCTGCAGGCTCAGTTCCCGGCTGGGGGGGGGGGCGGGGGACCGGACAGACAGACAGACAGACAGACAGACAGACAGACAGACAGAGACAGAGTGCTTGTGCACTTGTGGTCCCAGCTACTCAGGAGGCTGAGGCAGGAGGGCCATGTAAGCCTAAGAATTCAACACCAGCCTGAGCAACATGGAAATCTTGCTGGGGGTGGGGGAGGAAAAGGAATAAACAGCACCGGTGTAAAATAAAAGCCATATCCAGGGGCTGTAAGTAGAACCATAGAACAGGAAAGCAAATGATCAGGCCCTTGGTGCTACTTCTTAGGACAGGGACTCAGGCAGTGGAAGAAGACCACGCACAAAGAAGCCACTGTCCCCCAACTCAAAAGCAGGGAGAGCGCTTGAGCGCTTCCTGCACCGCACCTTCCATTGGTGAGTCCGGCTCTCTTGCATGGTCCTCCCTTGTGGAAGAAGGGTGGCTGCCTGGAAAGGAAAAGACAATAAATGACAAAGGAGATAGGTCAGTAGAATAAGTGCTTGCCAGGCAAGCGCAAAGCCCTGTGTTCAATCCCTGGTTCCGGAAAAAACAAAACAAAACAAAACACGAGAGAGAGAGAGAGAGAGAGAGAGAGAGAGAGAGAGAGAGAGAGAGAGAGAGAGAGGCTAGGCGCATTTCGAAAGAGTCGCAGACATTCAAAACAGAGCTGGGAAATCCCGGCAACAAACCCCAACCAAGTTCCGCGTTCTGTACTTCCAGTTCCTTCCTGCGTGCCTGGTACTTCAGGCACAGGCAGGGTGTGGTGCAAGCCCGTCCATCCATCTGTGCCTGCTGCGGGGCGGTCAGCAAACCCTAGCTGGGCTGCAAGTCCGTGTATAGACTTTGCAGTGGGCACAAGCAAAACCTAAAAACGTCCGTGTGGAGCCACCAGAACATCATGGCTTCTTTTAAAGTTGCGCCTAGCCCGGCATGATAGCGTATGCCTGTAATCCCAGCACTCAGGAGGCTGAGGCATGTGGGGCTGGGAATCAAACCCACGACCTTGCATTTGCTAGGCAGGCACTTATGCCACCAAGCTATCTCCCCAGCCCCATGCCTCTTTTCTTTTTCCTTTTTTAGTACCGGGTATTGACCTCAGGACCCTGAGCTTGCTAGGCAAGTGCTTGTCCTTCTGAGCCATCTCCCTGGCCCCCCATGCCTCTTTATTTCTAATGCACTAATGGGGCCGCAGACACCTGTGGCTCAGTGCAGAGCGCTGGTGTGGCACACATAGCCTCCTGCTTTGGTCCCCAGCCTGGCAGGAGGTGGGCTAGCAAACCCCCCTCAGAACGGTACCTTAGGAATTGTTTCCTAAGAATATTATTTTACCCAATCACAAGAAAACTTTAAGATGGGTAAGTGTAACCTGGAGCCAGCGCTTGGTTCCATTCTACCATTCATGTACGGGTTTTATTAGTTGACCCTGAGGTCCCCTTTCAGTACGGGATGTACTGCAGGCCCAAGTTGTGTTTCTAGCCACTGTGTCCCTGCCGTGGCATGACACGGAATAGTTCCATGGTCTTTGTCTCTCATGGCACCGACATTCTTCAAGAATGGAGACCCTGCCTTGCGAGGTGGCGCATCCCCGTGATCTCAGGTGCTCACGAGCAGAGGCAAATTTGAACCCAAGTTGGGCAGTTCAGTGAATCTGCCAGACCCTGTCTCAAAACAAAAAAAGCTGGGGATATAGCTCGGTGGTAGAAGGTCCAGGTACAACCCCAGCTCCCCCACACTAATAGAAGGGCCCTTCATTCTGAATGCCTGATGTGTGCTTGCCATTAGCTTCCGATTTTGTACTGTCCGTCAGAATACGGCCTAGAACAATGTCATGCCCGACTCGGGCTGTCACATCTGGGGAACAGGTGGGCTCGGCGCCTACCTGTCCTTCACTGCTGATGCAAATTTGATCCCCTAGAGATAGCTCAGGGAACTAAAGCACCTGCTTAGGCAAGCTTAGGCAAGTGCAGGGGCCGTGATTCGATGGTCCACACCACATGCTGCATCAGCCCCGCTCCCAGGGCGCATTGAGCTGGCCACAGAGTCTCGGCCTAGGGGCGCACGCCTGTGATCCCAGCGCTGGAGAGGTTGAAAACAGGAGGATCACTACAAGTCAGAGCTGCATAGTGAGACCCTGTAACAATTAAATACATTAAAAAATAAAACCCAAATTTGATCACCTAGTTAAGGTATTCTTATTTCTCCACCATAAAATGACTTGCCTTCCCACCTACAACTAACAAGAGTGTGAGGGGGCAGCTGTTAAATGATGATAAATCTGGTCTAAACCGGTCCCTGTACTTGACTGATAAAGTTTGGCCCAAAGCAGCCTCCGTGCATAGTGAAATGTATCCTAACTTGATGTAAACAGGTTGTAACATGATTTAAGTTTAGCCAAGAAACTGCAGGTCAGGGAACCACAGCAGTCAAGCTTCAGCCAATCACAGGCTACCAACTGATCGGAAACAGATACAAGGTAAATGCCGAATACAGCCAATCAGGTTGTTTCTTTTTTTCTTTCTTTCTGTATTTAGGACAGGGTCTATAGGGTCTTACTACATGGATTGCACTCATAGTGATTCTCCTGTTTTCAGCTTCCCAAGCGCTGGGATTACAGGCGCGCGCGCCACCACGCCCCGTCTCAACTGCAGCCTCAGCGCGCCCAGGGGGCGGGACCCACACAGCACGCTCGGGATCGAACCCCGGCCGTTGCCTCTGCCTAGGCGGGTGCTTTAGTCCACTGAGCTCTCTGGCCGGCCCTAAGCAGGATGTTTCTTACATCACTTCCTGCTTTTGACAATAAATACATGCCAGACACGTGGCCGGGTCAAGCATTCCAAACCAGCCTCTTGCTGGAATGCTGTCTTAGGTTTTCTTGTGAAAAGTGATAAATTTGACTACTTTTGGTTTTTCTTTTCTTTTGTATTTTAGGGAAGGGACTACAGGGTGTTCAGGGTCTCACTACTAGATCGGACTCATTGTGAGACGCCTGTTTACAGCCTCCCAAGTGCTGGGATTACAGGCGCGTGCCACCATGCCCAGTTTCAACTGCTGTCTCAGGGCACCCCAGGGACAGGGACGGCTCGGCAGGCCTGGGGGATGGAACCTCCAGCCCCTGCACCTGCTTACAGGCATTTTGATCCGCTGAGCTATTTGGCTGGCCCTCTTTCTCTAGGAGAGACTTTTTTTTCTTTTTCTTTTTCTTTTCTATGTGTAAGGCAAGTTGGCCATTTATTCTTTGTGAGTCACAAAAAAAGGGTTTCCCACTCAACATTCCATCTCTTTTCTCAGTCATCACTGGCCCTTCCACGGTAAGCAGTAAATGTCTGTTTGCGGTGGGCTTGTCCAAATCAGGATCCCAAGGAAACCCACACATTGGGCTAGGGTCGGGACCCCGTGGTAGAGCTTTGCATGGCACGAGCAAGGCCATAGGTTCAATCCTTGCACCCAAAACAGTAACATCACGAGACTCTTCCGTGTACTTTTCCGTAAAACAGGTTTCTTTGTTTTTTTCTCTCTCTCTTACTTGCATCCTGAAGGACCAAGTTTCAACAGACCACTGCAAAGCTCTACCACTGAGTCCCGACCCCAGCCCAACGTGTGGAGCAGGAGGGAGGTGGAGGCAGGACTGTCGTGGGGAGGACACCCAGCAGCCTGTCATGCCGGGCTGGCAACACAGTCTCTTTCTGCCAATACTTTCCACACCCTTGTTAGTCTACCTCAAAGAGCTCCCTTTATCTTCCACGGTGACATTAAAGACAGGGAAGCTTTGTGCCAGACAGGCAGAAATTTCTGTTGTGGTCCAGATCTAGAATGTCCCCCAAGGACGCACATGCTCAGAAGGGCTTGGGGGGGTGATTTGATTTGATGGGTTCAGAGCGAAGTGTGCTGAGAAGGCGTGGCTTAGTTGGGCTGGGTTCTGGGGGCGTGGTCCAGAAGACCACACCCCTGTCCCTTCCCGTTCTGTTTCTGTGGCCCCAGGACTGAGCACCTATCCTTTGTCAGGCTTCTCCAGCAAGACTTCCAGCCTAGGCTGGATCACCAAGAGTCTGATCTAGTAGTGAGACCCTAAACACCCTGTAGACCCTTCCCTAAAAAAAAAAAAAAAAAAAAAAGAAGAAGAAGAAGAAGAAGAAGAAGAAGAAGAAGAAGAAGAAGAAGAAGAAGAAGAAGAAGAAGAAGAAGAAGAAGAAGAAGAAGACGACTTCCAGCCTTGGGGCCAGTTCACCAGGGACCGGAACCCGGAGATAAAATAAACACCTCTTTAAGTCGTGGGTGGCAGGGCTCCCAGTGGAGAAAAGCGACCGAGCGAATAGCGCGGCAGCAATTCTGCATATCTGCAGATAGTTCACGGCGGCTTCCGGGCTGAGGATGGGGAAAGTCCGCGCGCTAGCGGGCGGGGGCGCACAGAGCTTCCTTTGGGTGGCCCAGGGTCCTTGGTACCCAGGGCTGTCTCTGGCCCGTGAGCTCGTGTCACGGGTGGGGGTGGAGTGGGAGGTAAAGGGCCAGGGACCTCATAGGGGGAGGCCTGGGAGGAGGGGCAAGGCCAGGGGCACCTCGGATTGGGTCTCCAGAGCCCCGGGTGTGGCTGGCAGGTCACTGGGATGCACAATGCAGACAGCCTCTAAAGGATCGCAGATTTGTTTGGGGTTTGTTAAGACAATTGAATATGTAAAATTCTCAAATTGGGGGCTGGCCAGATAGCTCAGCACCCTAAAGCGCTTGCTTAGGCAGAGCGCAGCGCACGGGTTCAATCCCCTGGGGTGCGCCGTGAGATGCGGATTGAGACTGGGCATGGCGCCTGTAACTCCAGCGCTTGGGAGGCTGAAAACAGGAGAATCACTGTAAGTCTGATCTATGTAGTGAGACCCTGTAGACTCTATCCTAAAATACAAATAAAATAAAACAAAATTCTCAATTTGGGCCTAGAGGTGGACTTGCCTAAAATGCCTGAGAACCTGGGTTCTGTACCTAGCACTACCAGCCCTAACTGGCACCAGAAAGCTCATCTGTTTTGGTGAGTCAGGTCTCACTGTGTAGCCCAGGTGATCCTCCTGCCTCAGCCTCCCTGAGTGCTGAGATTACAGGCACACACCACCATAGTTGGCAAATTTTTAGTTTTTATTTATTTTTGTGTATTTAGTACAGGGTCTACAGGGTCTCACTATGTAGATCGGACTCATAGTGATTCTCCTGTTTTCAACCTCCCAAGCGCTGGGATTACAGGTGCACGCCACCATGCTCAGTTTCATTTGCCGTCTTAGCACGCCCCTCAGGGGCAGGGCTGGCACAGCAAGCCCGGGATCCAACCCTGGCCACTGCACCCTGCCCAAACAAGCGCTGTAGTCCACAGAACTATTTGGCCAGCCCAAGTTTTTAGTTTTGATGAAATGCAGTGTCTACTTTTTGTTTTGGTTCCTTGTGTTTCCCAGGCTATGTCTGAGAACTGTTGCTTAGCCCAGGGTCATAAAGATTAGCATCAC